TTCAGTAATCAAATCATAGAATAATGCCATCTTGGAAGTCATGTGTCTTGGGCTTTCTGTCAGTAGGAGGGAGTCTACAGTGATTGATAATTAAGAATGAAGTTGGAAAACTATGGCCCAGCAGCTATTTTTGACTCTCCATCTGTTTTTATAAATAAAGCTTTTTTGGAACATAGTCATGCTCATTTATTTAGGAATTTTCTGTGGTCATGGCAGAACTGAATAGACGTAGTAGGGTATATGGTCAGAAAAGCCAATCCACTATTTGGCCCTTTACAGAAAAGTTTACAGATCTCTTATTAAGACTCATTCATGATAGTTGTTGTTGCCATTTGTTGGTTTTCTAGTAGTGAGGACTGAACCCAGGGTCCTTTTGCAGAGGTACATCTACAGCTCTTTTGGTTTTTGATTATGAGATAGGATATCACTAATTTACTGAATTAACCAGGCTGTGCTCAAATACCAACTTTCCTTCATCCCAGAGTGCTGGATTATAGGATATACCAGCACCATGCTGGGCTAAGACCATAGATCTTAGAGACTTTGGTAGAGCTGAGTTCCACCCCAGTTCCAATTTACTTAACTAAATGACTGTGGACACATCAACCTCTCTAAGTTTTGGGTTCCTTATCTGCAACTTGTTGCCCATAATACAAATCCTTCACTTTTTATCTGTGATTTATGAAAAAGTTATGAGTTTAACTTATTGGGAGGAGATAGGTGTTGAATTTTGGTGCTAAAATTCATTTTTGGTGCCAAAATCTTGAACTTAACTCACATATACTTATTTTATAATCATCTATCTAGCATCTCTTTATTGCATTAGTCAGAGACATTAACATTATGTCAACACCCACAAATCTTAGTGGCACTGTACAATGTAAGTTTATTTATCACTCACACATGGTAAAATACAAATGGAGAGGGTTAGAGTTAGGGGGTCCTGGCTTCTTCCACTTTGCTATAAGGTTGTCTGGAATATGTGACCTCACAATCTCTACAGATGAGAAGAGAGAGGAAGGAAAGGTTACTGATCTCATTAATGCCAGGAGAGGCTGGAAATATGGCCCCATCATGTGTGATCAGGAAGAGGATCACCCAGACACTACTGACCCATAATAGGTTCTGTCAGGCTCATCATATTTTAGTTCAAAAATATTACACATTTAATTGTAGAATGCTATAGACCCTGCTGGTGATATTAAATTTATATATGGCTCTAAAATATGGAAGACTAAAAGAAAATCTCAGCCAGCCTAAGGACTTCAGATTGGGGGGTTGAGGGATGGATATAGGGGTGAGGACCTATATGTACCTCACTGCAATCCTGGACCAGACTACCTGGGTTTGAATCCTGGGATTATCACTTTCTAACTGTGTGAGCATGGCAGGTAGCTTAACTGCTCTGATTCCCTTTTCTCATTTGCTAAAAAAGAGATAATAATAGTACCTGGAAGGATTAACTAAGTATTAAATAACTCAACACAACACATAACATAATGAATGGTAAATAAAAAGTATCGATATGTAGCTATTATTACTGTTAATTACATTTTACGCATTTCATAGGGTAAATGCTTATTATAATTAGATGTAGAACTCACTCTTTCATAGCATCACAGAGTAATCTTCTATATTTTGCTTGAATGTGTTCAAAGGCAGAAGATCCCTGTGTAGTGTAGTGACCAATGTCATTATTATCTTTGTTAGTAATTCCCCCAAGCAATAGCTGTTATAGTTGACATCAGACAAATATTGAGCCCATACTCGGTGCCAGGTACAGAGCCAAGTCCTTTGTTGACCCTATTCCTATTTCACTCTTACTCTATCCTGGGAAGTTGGCTTTCTTGCTGCTTTTATTAGGTGATATAAAGATGAAGGTCCAGAGGATTTTAATACTCGGCCCCTGGGTCTCACAGCCACTTGGTGGCAAAATGAAGATTAGATCCAATCATATTCAAACCTAAGGCCCCTCCAGACTCATTCATTCTGCCCTTCAGGTTTAAGCAAATTAAATAGAAATTTTCCATTTCCCTTTATCTTAAAATCAGTGGTCTCTCTGCTGTACCTCCCAGTGTGCTGTTGCTACTCAAAATACATTCTTTACCTAACAATTTCTGTTTTCCAGAAACTTTCTGAGTAGCTGATCAATTTAGAAAAATAACTGCAATAGCCTGGTTTTAAATTTGATTTTGACTCAACATTTATTAATTTAGCCATTAGTTTGCTTTTAAAAGGAAAGGGATTGTACTGACACATTACATATAACCATTTCAACTAATTTTCCAAATTACAATCAACATTCATCATAATTACTGGTATTTTACATAAATATTATAAAAGCAGTGTTACTCATAATTATACATTATTAACATCAGACTAAATTTATATGCAAATTGAGTATAAAGTACTATGGGAAATTGATGATATAGTCCTGGTTCATAAGTTATTTCAAGGAATGAAATCACTAGTAGTTTTTGCCTTTCTCGTATTCTGCAATTAGCTATAAATGTTTTTGTTTTTTAATTAGGTGAAGTAGAACTTTGACTTCCATATTATAGCTAAATTGAGTCTGTGCTGGAATTAATCTTGTGGGTAAAGTGTAATGAATACTGAAGAGATGTTCTAGGGTGGTCTACATTGCCACAGTGGGAGAAGCATTAAGGAGATTGGCCTAAGGGTGTCCTTGCCAAGTCCTCTCTGCCCACACACTGACTGCTGCTTCCCTGTCTAGGAGAAACCCACCTGTCCTGTCCCGACTTCTTTGTTCAGACCTCCTTAGCCACTGCCTGCCTCTGCCTGTGTCTTCTCAGCAGTAAGTTGGTTATATTATGCAAGATGACATTTTGGAATTCCCAGCCCAGAATCTTTATGTCCCACCATCCCCTGTGCCTGAGGGCAGAGGAGGAGGCACTTCCCTGTGGCTGGAAATTCTACACCCTGGGACCAGTGACCTAATGACATCTCAAGACTCAAGAGGCTTGATGTTTCTTTTTTTTTTTTTTTGGTACCCGGGATTGAACTCCGGACCTTGCGCTTGTGAGGGAGGCACCAGAACCACTGAGGTAAATCCCCGGCCCTCCATGTTTCTTTATTCACCCTGACTTCACACAGCCCTTGTACCCAGACCTGACCAAATTAATGTGTCCCTCCTAAACATGACAGACTTTTATCATTCTACCAAGTTCATTTTAAATACATTCTGCATTTGTCTCCAAAGCTTTTACCACAGGTCAGCATTTATCAATTCCTGTCTGGGGTCTCAGAATAAGTAGCAACTAAGTGACTCCATGTTTTTGGAAGCACTGCTCAAACATATGAGCAAGCCTGCTGAAATTTCCTTAGCATTCCTCATCTCCCACAACACAGTCCAACCTCCTGTTTAAGACATATCAAGCCCTGGCCTCCTTCCTCAACCTTCCCTCCTGGCTCTTGCGTGAGCGATCAATCTTCCACAAGCTTTGCAAACACTGTGTTGCTTTCCAAACCTGAGACGCCCTACTGGTCCTCTGACTCATGTCCCACTTCTTCCACCCTGGCCTTTATTCTCTTCACAAGCTTCTGCTGTTTCTGTCAGTCATAGTTCATCAGTCACATGGGCAGGCACTTTTGCTTCCAGTACTTTCTCCTTGCTGGTTCCATTCTATAACTGACATTTCTGCTCATGTAAAAGATGCATCCTTCAAAAATGTATCTCTCTAGTTGCCTCATTTCCATTCCACCTACCCACCCACCCACCCATCCACCCATCCATCCACCCATCCACCCATCCTTCCAACCATCCATCCATCCACACATCCACCTATCCATCCATCCACCCATCCACCCACCCATCCATCCACCCATCCACCCACCCATCCATCCACACATCCATCTATCCATCAATCCATCCACCCATCCATCCATCCACCCACCCATCTACCCATCCACCCATCCATCCACCCATCCACCCATCCATCCAGCCATCCAGCCATCCATACATCCACCTATCCATCCATCCATCCACCCATCCACCCATCCACCCATCCACCCACCCATCCATCCACACATCCATCCATCCATCCATCCATCCACCCACCCACCCATCCACCCATCCATCCATCCATCTACCCATCCACCCATCCATCTATACATCCACCCATCCATCTACACATCCATCCATCCACCCACCCACCCATCCACTCACCCATCTATCCATCCATAAGAAAGAAATTACAAAGTAAAGTAATGGATAAAACTACTACCTAGAGATGAAGCTCAGCCATTCAGACTATAAGCAAACGAGTGAGATGTAAATTATACCCATGGTTTTAATAAAAATAGAAAGTGCCAGTCTTTACAGCTTCTCACAGTTAGTGTTTGGCTTATGCTCCTAACACTTAGATTTAAATATATAATGATTTGTGACCTGCTAGGTACCATACGAATCATATGAAGGACTCCCCCTGACACACACAAGTATAGGTATATATGGAACACACATTATTATATATAAATAGGTTAGGTGCCTATCCAGAACAGACTTTAGAACATAACTTTAGAAGACATTTTCTTGTATACTTGTCAGGCTGGTGAATATCGAATATGTTTAATCTCTTGCCTGTCCCCACCACTTTCTGGGGTTTCCACAGTAGGGCTTTGACTATATTATCTCTGTATTTCTGAGGCCTACCATGATGACTGGCCCATGATAGGAGCCAGTGAGTGTTAGTTAAATCATTTGACCTCTAAGACTGTTCTCAAATAGGTGAAGAAAGCCTCATCTGAACAGATGATAAAATAAACCAAGTAGAAAATAAACCAAGTAGGTTGTAATTTGTACTTCTTTTGAGAGATAAGAGCAGCTTCTTGGAAATTCAATAAGGGAAAGAAAGTGTTCTTGGGCTTTTTTCCTCTGCTTAAAATGGATCAAATTACCAAAGCTGATTTTCCCACTAAAGGACTAAAATCTCTTGCAGAGTGTCTTAAGCCAAATGATATAAAAAGAGTCCAGAACTTACCTCAAAACTCACAGCTCCATTGTGGTCTGTATCGAATGCATTGAACAGAAAATGTGCATACGTTGTAGAGTCTGAAATGTTGAAAAGGGAATATCATTAAGTCAGGGTGCTGATAGCCTACATAAGACTTGGATGGCAGGTCTAAGCCTTCCTTTACGCAGGAAAACTAATCCACCCTCTTTACTTATGGTGTCTTCACAGCTTCCCAGTGTTTCTTAGTAGAAGACTACAATTTGAAATCCCTAGGAATCACACACAGAGGCCATTGGTGACAGACATCCTCTATGAGCTTCTGGCTGGAAACGCTCCGAACGTATGTGAGTCTTGGGTAATGATAACAACACGGGGCCGAGTGATGGCCCCCTGGGCCTGGGTGAGGATTAAGTGAGAAGTCTGGAAATCGCTTAATGTTTGGCAGAGACTCTCTAGAAATAAAGTAGTAAGAATACAAATAATGAGACTGAGATGAGTTGCTATTATTAGTACTTGCATCATTTTTACAACTCAGAAAAGGATACTGGGGCTTTGGGAGGTTGAGAAACGTGCACATAACTCACACAGACAAGAAGTAGATGTGAGCCATGAATGCGCTGAGGTTAACTCACAGCAGGGCTGGTCAGCTAGCAGATGTGGACAGTGGAGAAGGTTGGAAGGGAACTCCTGTCCTCAGGATTCCTAGCTGTGGTGCAGTTGTGGGCCACAAGGGGACACTACTGTCTACAGGCCCCAGGCGGGACATGAGGCTCTGGTTGAGGTGAAGTACAGAAACCTCTTTAGTTCTTGCTCTTTGTTTGCTTCTCCTTTTTCCTTCCGCTCTCTTATCCTGTTTCTCCTTTGCTTCCTAATCTTTGAGCAGCGTTCTGCATTTTTCATTTTGAAAGTATAATTTTTCTTACTGTTTTCTTCATGACCAGCTTTCATTTTTAAGTGCTTTTGTGCTTGACTCGATCAGATTTACATGATTATTTTAAATGTTCCATCTCATGGGTTTTAGCCTTTTGTCTTAACCTTTTTTTTTTATTTTGAAAAATTGTAACCTTTCAGATCATTGGCTCCAGCCTTATATCTTCTGTTTAAAATCTGATCTCTTTGTAGTTTATGACTTTTCGCTTTTATTTTTACTGGGATTTAACATAGGCTCTATTCACTTTTTACTTTATGAATTTCATTTAAAATGCTGTCAAGAAACTAAGTCAGAGAAGCAGGAGTAGAGAACTGCCTCTCCCAAATAAAAGAGGGAATAGACATCCCAGGGTCTTAGCCCTTTCCTCTTGCCCAGTCAAAGGTAGAAGTATTACTCTAAAATTATTTACTTTACAATTTTTCACTTCCTGCCAAGAAATCCAGACACCTCTCTGGGCTCATAATCTACTTAGGGATCATTTTTCCTGAATGCTTCGCCCTGGTGGTGAGCACTATTGAAGACCACACATTTCAGGACTTAGACTCAGTATCTCAAAATGATGGTGTTGTCTTCTCTCAGTTCTCACCTTTAAATGTTCTATGAAGAGCGACTTATTTTCAAATATTAATTACTAACGTTTGTTTTCAATGAAAAAACTAAGCACGAAAATTGAGTCTAAATACTACGTAAGACCATTTTGCCTAGGGTGTAGATCCACACAGTGTTGCTAGATTGCAAGAAGAAGTAATTTTGTGTTGTAGAATCAAGGGTCTCATTAGAATTGGCTTAGTGCTATTGGTGGGAGTTCTAGTATAGAATCATCAAGAATTGGAAGCCTATTTTCATTTGCAAAGTTGTTTTGCTCTCAGCAGTGCATTTTCACAAAGTTATGAAAGTATTTAGTATTCTGTGGGGCTGTGAGCTGATAGGTGGTATGTTAAAATTTATTTTCAGGGGAGAAAAAAAAGAAAGTTTGCATATTTATAATAAGCTTCGTTAAGCAGGTCTCTTGCTACCCTGTTTGTACAGCCAATGTAAAAGTCTTTACCTAAGCTAGCAGAGCTCACCATGAATAATTGCTTTGAGCAAATGATTGTAATTTCTTAAAACTTAAAAACAAGGTAACATAGGTGTATGATAATTACTTTTCTTCTCAAATGAGGTTTCTGTAGCCTTAAAGCTCAACTTATGGCAGTGACACGCTCAAGGTTTACACTCATGCAGTCCTGAAGACTTCTTTTTCCTTTCAATGGACCTGACAATTCTCCTAGAAGTTATGCCAGTTTTTTAGCCTACATTTATGATACAATATCAACTTTTATTATTAATGTAGTAAAGTCAAACTGCCTGAATTCGAATTGTAATTTTACCAAAGATCAACTGCATGACCTTGAGCAAGTTGTTTAATGTCTCTGTGACTCAGTTTTCCTATCTACAAAATTGTAACAATACCAGTATGTATATCATAGAGACATTATGTGGTTTAAATGAATTTCCACATATATGCAAATTGTTTAGAATTATTGTCAGCACCTATTAAATATGCAACAAATATTCACCGGTTTTATTCTTTCAGGGACACAAGCCACTCTTATGTCATCTATCTTTAAAAACTGTGCTCATTGGGAGGGAAGGGGAAGGGAACTAAAAAAAGAAATAAACTGTATTATGTACATGGACCCACTTCCCGAGATTATAAGTTGCATATACTGCAAAGATGTACTAATAAACAACAACAACAAGAACGTGGTCAAAACTTTTACAATTGTAACATGCTTTCACCTAAAAGGTTCTTGTTTTTCAAACTCTCTGCTTTAGGTCTAAATGGCTGGAGTTCTAATTGATGCAATTTCACGCTCAACAAAGGCAGTAGAATTAGGTCATCAAAGATAATAAACTTTCTCATGGAGTTTGGATTTCTTCTGGCAGGGAATATTAATTTTGAAAGCAGGGCAGTGATGCTACTAACTTTGACTGGGCAAGAGGAAGGAGCCCCAGGACTGAAGCACCAGGCTCGGCACAAAGGTGACCATAGTGAAGAGAAGAGGAACTGCACACGTAAGCTTCTATGGCTTTGGTTTCATGGGACACTGCTCTTTCTAGTGAATACTTGCTAAAAAGATGAATAACTGGTTTCCTGGACTCTCGATTTCAGCACAGTTAACAGATTAAAGATAAAGCAGTGGCATCTCTCCTCTCTACACGGCATAGATCTTCCTTGATCACCTTTCCTCACATCACAAAACTATTTAGATTGATATGACGAGATTGCCTTGGTGTCCTATCATTTTACTTGTGAAGTTGAACAGTGTATGTTAATCTAAAATTTTATAGTTAGGTAACAAAATTTGCAGATTTTTAGGGTAGAAAGAGATTTGGGTATCAGTTAGTGAAATATCTAGTTAACAAAGGTGGAAAATAGGTGCAGGTAGTTTCAGCCAGTTTGGGTCATCATCTAGGCTCTTAATGGTGGAGTTAGAGGTGAAATGAAGACATTCAAATATCAACTTTTTAAATTAAAGGGTGTTAGGGTAGACAGAATATTGAACATTCTTGTTCTGATTCCCACATTTTACAGAGGAACAACCTGAGGTCCAAAAACCAAACCACTTGAGGTCACATACCTCAGTGGTGGCAGCCTATCCACGCACTGGGCATTCCTGTGTTACCCCAGAGTTCTTAACCCAGTTATTTCCAGATGGCAATGACTATGCCAACTAACTGCTCAGTGATGACAATGCCCCAGCTTTATGAAGTGAAATCACTCTGGTTGGGTTCCTTCTTACTACCCCAAACTCTACCCTCACCTGAATTCAACCACAAGATAGAGAATTAACTTAAAGAATTTGATTGTGCCATTCATGGTGTTATCACTAGGGTTAGTCAGGTTCATTGCAGGAATGGTAGCTATTGTAAACAAATCCTTTAGGGCCAAGGATGTAGATGAAGCTTGATAATAAAATATGTCCTTAGCCTCTTTGATCTCCAGTACACACACACACACACACACACACACACAGTATAACTCACTCGGAAAATTGTTAGAGCTGTTGTTGTAGAACAATAAACATACTTGATGGGTGTTTTGTAAAAATTTTAATCTTTATGTACACAAAATCTGTCTGTTCCCTAAGGATTTTGTGCACTGCCCTGCTCAATGACTGTTGACATATTCTTTTGACTTGAGCTCATTCATTCATTCCATATCTGTTAATTTAGTACCTAGTGTATACAAGTACAAAATTCCTACAACACAAGCAGGAATAGCTCAGGGAACTGAATTTTCATGGCCTTTTGAAATGTTTAGTGAGTTAAAAGAGTTTATATGCTAGCGCTGGGTTGTAGTAGTGCTTGCCTGTAATCCCAACACCTGGGAGGCTGAGGCAGAAGGTTTGCTGTAAGTTTGAGGCCAGCCTAGGCTACATAGTGAGTTCAAGGCCAGAATGAACTACATAGCGAGACCCTGTCTAAAATAAAGAGTTTATATGCTAAAGCTTCTACTATAACTGGAGTTGAAAAAGGAACCACATAAGCAACAACACCACAAATCTTATCCTCACTTCTGTTTTATAGTTGGAATACTTAGGGCTCTGCAAACAAGGTACTTCTGTGCAATTCAGACAAGTTGTGCTTGCTAAACTGTCTCATTAAATAAAGTTGAGCTAGATATAATAAAAATTGTACAGGGTGTTCGTTCATAAGACAAATCATTTTCATGGAGGAAATGGTGAAATGTTATCTACCAACACTTCCTTCTTTCTGCTGATGATGAGAGATACTGGTTGCTTTTAGACCGTCAACCCAAGTAAATGATAACTCCATGAAAGTACTATAAAAATAACTAGAAGAGGACTTTGCCTCCCATCTGAGATTCTTTTCTTTGTGAGCATCACTGTGGGATACAATTTGTATGCATGATATTAACTTTTTAAATTTTAAGTCATCATTCTTTAAAATACTTCATTTCTTTCAATAATCCCTGGTACTTTTAGATTTATGCATTCAATTGGCATGACTAATCAAAGAATTTTTAAGAGAGTAAAAAAGGGTTTTTCTTAATTCTCTTTGGATTTTATAGTAAGAATCCTTTGCAGAATAGATGATTTGTACTTAAGTATTCTCTAATGTAGAAATAATTGTTTTACAGATATATATATAAAATTTTAATTTGAAAATACATCTAATTTGTATTATGTAATAACTTTATTGGAAATAATAAAATATAATTTAAAGCTATCCATTTGCTGCTTTGAAATCAATATCTATTAATATGTTGGCATTCAGGTAGTGAACACGATTTTTATTAAAGCATTGCATGGGTTTTAAATAATCGAGAAATATGTGAAGCTATAAAATGATACCAAATCAATCTTTCATTATGCAAACAATAACCCACGAGCCTAGCGTCAGGTGCTATAACCAATACCTGCCTGTGGTCCATTGAAACTTCCTTTGTGCATTGGAGCAATGAGATGGGGCAGGGCAGTCGTTGCCCTCAGTGTATCCAGATCTGTATAATAATGGGTCTTCCTGTGTTTTCTCATAATTCTAATTTAATTTTTAAAGTAACATCTTTAACGTAAAAATTCTGTTTTGACTATCCATGCATGGCATTGTCTCAAACCCACTTACATAAAACCAAACAGATTGAAAACCAGAGGAGACTCTAATTTTTGTATATAACAACTAGTATTTAGGTGCTGTATGTTTTTCAAAATTAGTTTTACAGATATTAGTCCTTTGTACAATTATAGCCTCCATGTGAGATGGGTTGTCATTCTGTCCTTCCTTCATTCATTATGTGGTAAGTGTTCATCTAGTTTTATTACTTGTTAGTCACTGTTCCATGACCAGTGGATAAAACAGAAAACAATACAGGGAAGACTTTTGTTTACTTGCAGCTGATGTTCTAGAGGGGAGAGAGACAATAAGGAAATTATCAAGTGATCTTGAATGTCAAAGAGAAATAGTAAGCAGGAGAAGGGGTTGGAGAATGTTTGTGCCATTGCCTCATAGAGAAGGTGGGGTTTGAGGGAAAGCAAGGGTGATGGGGTATTGAGATGGATGTTGGGGAGAAGTAAATTCTAGGAATAGGGAAGAGCAAGTTCAGAGGAGCAGAAGCAGCAACATGATTAGACATTGGTTGAATGTGAAGGAGGTCAGTGTAGCTGGGATGAAATCCATCCAGGGGAGAATGGGGAGAAGAAGGCAGAGAAGAACAGAGAAGATCAGAGAAGAGATCAGTAGCCATGACTTGCAGGCCACAGGTTTTGGCTTATGGGATTGGAAGGTTTTGGGTAGAACAGTGACATGATCTGGATTTCATTTCAACAGAATCACTCTGGCTTGTTTTGAGACTTGACTATGTGTTAAGATTCATACCTACATGTCCCCCCAAAGCCTCGTGTGCTTTTAGGGCTTTTAGAAGGTGATTGGATCATGGAGGTATGATACTCATCAGTGGATTAGTCTACTGATGAGTTTATAGCTGTATGTGATGTTTGGAGGTGGAACCTGGTCAGAAGAGATGGGGTCACTGGGAGAGAGGTCTGGAAGGGACCATCTGCCTCCCTCGATCCATCTTTCTCTGCTTCCTGACTGCCTTCCCATGAGCTATTTCTCCTCTCCAGGCCCCTCTGCCATGCCTTGGTGCCATGTGGCCCTGCCCTGGAGCCAGCTCACTATGTGGAGCCAACTCTCTACAAACTGTGAGCCAAAATACACCTCTTTATCCTTAATTTGTGGGTGTTGGATATTTTGTCCCAGCAATAAGAAAGCAACTAAGACACCACGATCGGAGGATAAGTGTCAGAATCAGAGAGACCAGTTGAGAAACTACAGAGTTATTTTGCTAAGACATGATGATAGATCTTTTTAAGTGAAAAGCAATTTCAAAGAATGATGGCAAGTTCAACAGCAAAGTATATTCTGGCCACATCCACAGAAAGAAGTGACGGTTGCCTCTTATGTCGAGGAGAGGCCACAGCTGAAAAGAAAGACTAATTGTTCCCCTTTCAATTCAAAGTGAAGCCCCTACCTTGACTCCTGATTCATGACCTTCCTCTGCCATCTCTCATCTTTTTCTCCCACAGATCTGTATTTTATTATGTACCCTCATTCATAAGTTACTAACATCTCCCTCTTTATAAGCTCTTCTGTATGCAAACAAGTTCCAGTCTTTCCCACTTTAAACTCTTCTGCTAGTGTCTGCATAGCACTATAATCTGCTTCCTCCCCATCCCTTCACTTTCCCAGCCAAATTTCCTATCAGAGCCTTTTCTACTGGTATCTTTATTTTCTTACTTCACATTACTCTTTTGTCCTGTGTAACCTGGCTTCTGTTTGTGACCCACACTCCATCCTCAGTAAAGCTGCCCTGACCATACTCAACAGTAACTTCCATGTTGCCACATTCCAGTGGTAGCTTCCTATTCTTACCTTCCTGGAATTCCTGGCTACTGCGTTTAATGTCCTATTCTCCTTATTTTTAAACTATCAGTCTCCCTTGGGCTTACTTTCATATCTTTGGCTGTTTATTCTCTTTTTCATGGATTCCTTTACCCTCTCATGTCCTTAACATGTGTTCTGAACTTTCATGCTTAGCTCACGGGGCTCCACAATTTTATACTCCTCCAAGTAGCCTCACTTATATCATGGATTTAGCCATCATGTCACGGTTAATGATTCCCAGATCTCTGTCTATTTCTCTGACTTTTCTTCATTCTTAGATTTCTATCAGTCTCTTGTAGATCTCAAATGCTCACAGGGGGCCAGGGATTTAGTTCAGTGGTTCTGGCACCTGCCTCACAAGCACAAGGTTCTGATTTCAATCCCCGGTACCAAAAAAAAAAAAAAAAAATTCTCACAGGCATCCCAAATGCAATCTGTAACAAACTTTCATCATTATCTCCCCATGCCACTTGTAACTAGTTTTGGAAGTCATCACAACTCCTCTTACCATCACAGAAATTCAATCACTCATCAAATTCTGCCATTGTTTATCATGCAAATATGTCTGTAATTCTACTTCTGTCCCAACTTTTCCATTCTTACTATGTGCGTCCTGGTTACACACATTGTTTTACTTCCTGAAATACTCTCCTAATTGGTCTTTATGCCTGTAGTATTGCCTACCTTAAATTAATCCTCCACAGAGCTATTAGTGGAATGTATCTAAAACAGAAATCTGACAACAGCTCCTATTTCAACCCATATGTGCCTTTAGATCATCTCAATAATGCAAGTTCCCATTTCATCACACAGCATTCATGATTCTCTAGGACATTTCATCCCCAATCCACACCCAAATCCTGTCAATTTTCTGCAAATTTCCACCTTCATTTTTTTGCGCTCATGCTTTGGCTTACAGTCCATTTACCTAGAGTGCCCCTAGTGCTTTATAAAGCTGAAGCCATCAGGCTTAGCAGTGCAGTGTCTCCTGAGAAGTATGAGGAGGCAGTGAAAGACTATATACTTTAGAAATGAGCTGACCTCTCTTTACCTTTGTTTCTATATTTACAAAAAGGAAAGGCCATAGCTAGGGTTGTTCGATTGTGATAAGGCATGCCGGACATGCATTAGAACTCCAGAATGCTTATCAATTTCAGCTCAGGTTCACTTTACCCGGGTAGCTTCTGTTTTCTTTCCTTTCCTGTAGTTGGTCTAAATATGCCTTCATCAAGCTCTCTTAATCCAATTTTTAAATCCCATCTTCACACACTTTGTGTAAACATTGTCCTTTTGCAGCAGTAGACTATAAAATAACGTAATTCGGGGGGCAGGGACCACACCCATTCCTCTTATTTCTCTTCCATTAGCAGCACTTGCACAATTGGCTGGGTGACACATTAGATATTGGGATTTGTTGGATGATTGGTAGAAAAATGTAAGATCCAATATCATCTTTTCATTCATTTCTAAACCATATATGCCATTGTTATGCTATCCATGTATTTTATTTCCAAATAAAATGATTTCTACAGTGTATTAGTTTTCTCAGATGGGGAGTTCATAGGAAAGAGTTACTGAAAGGAAGAGGAGACAGCAGAAAGTACATTAGACAAGGCTACAGAAAAATCTAGGTTATAACCCAGATCTGCCACTGAGTAGATGTGTGACTGATCCTGAACAAAACATTTAACTTCTCTAAGTCCCAGATTCCACATCTGCAAACTGAAGATAATTATATATGCCCTAATTTTGAGAGTTGGGAGAATCAAATGATGGAAGTGAAAAAAGCCTTGAACCTTTTTGAGGACCTCTGTAAGATTCAGAAAACATTGTACTTCTGAGAGCCAATGCACTAGACACACAGTAAGTAATACTTGTATGAGACTGAAAAATAAGCTCTTAGATATTTGATAATTTGTAAGGAGCTCACTTTTATGACCCACTAAAAACTCTTTGTGCTTGCATGCTCTGTATTAATTCTTTTGCATAAAGATTAAAACTGTAGAGTCATGCCATGCAAGATAAACCAAATTCAAGATTGCAAGCATAATTCTAATTCCAGGAGCATGTTAACAAGTCCACATTTGTACTTACCTCCCTGTGGGAAGAACTGCGAGTAAATCTCTTTGAAGGTTTCTTCATTAACAACACCACTGGGACATTCCTAGAGAAAGTGGCAGAGAAGCAATATGAGCAAAGTGTTCATAAAACTGACATGTTTTGCACATTTTGGAACAGAACTGTCTGCCATGAAAAGCTGCACCAAGAAAGTTAATCATCCATCCATTATTATGAAGACAATAAAAGCACACTGTAAATTTCTCTTTGTTCCATTTCTCACAGAATTTAAAAAAAGCAAAATTGAAGATGAAAATGTCTTTATATATTAAGCATCAAATGCAGTCCAACATATTAAAAAAAAACACAATGGCTTTTAAGAACATACATATTTGTTATCAATGAGTTCTGTAGAAATTGCATTGTTTTTCCTATTTCCGGGATATTGCAAAGTGCTAATCATGCAGTGTTTGCAGAATCTTGCTTCCCTGTTTAGTTGTGATTTTCTAGACTCATACAATCTTCAGTTCAGTGTTCCATTAGAGTTGAAGGTGGCTGTTATGGCTTGTATCTAGATGTTCCTCAAAGCCTCATGTGCTTATAAGCGGGGCTTTTCACAGGTGGCTGAATCTAGAGTGTGTAAATACGGTTTAAGGGTGTGTGATATCTGGATCAGTCCTCTAATTGGATTAGCATAGTTCTGGTTGTTGCTGAATGGATTTACTGAAGAGGGAAGCTCCATTCTGGGTGTTGGTGGCATTAATTAATAGGCTTGTAGCCTGGTTGGAGTATAAAGGGACAGAAAGAAGGCAGGTTCACTGTCTCTTGCCTGCCCTGCCATGGACTGTTTCTCCTCTGTGATGAGCCTCTGCAATGCCACCCTGCCTTGGAGCCAGCTGACTATGGACGGAAACCTCTACAAACTGTGGGCGAAAACAAACCTTTCCTCCTTTAACTTGTGGGTGTTGGATATTTTCCCAGCAAGGAGAAAAGCAACTAAGACTGTTGCTCAGGAAGCTTTAATCAGGAATAGTTAGAAATTCCTATTAACAGGTTCTTCATAACAGGTATACAATGACAAGCTCTTGGAACAAATGACCTTAGGTGAGATAGAACCTGAAGAATTTTTCAAATTTTGACTTTCCAAAAGGATCTCCAAAGGAATGAGTCTGATCTGAGCTTAATGAAGTCCCACCTTTGTCCCATGGAAAGAGTTGTTGAAGAATGAACATTAGCCAAACGAACACTACCTTTCTCAACAATAAAATTGTTTTATTAATTTGATCTTCCTCGATTTCAATGAGCCCAATACTCACCTGTAATGTGCATCACATGAGGAATTTTTTAATTTTTTCCATCCATCCATTCTTTTAAAAAAATTTTTTTTATTAAATTCTTTTATTGGTACATTGTAGATATACAACACAATTACATTTCTCATTGGGAATTGTACCTTTACATAATGCATCTTGGTTCTTATTTTTTCCCCATTCCTAGCCCTCCCTTCACCCCCTCCACCCTTCCCTATTTACAAAGACTTTATTTCCATTTTTTCCATTTCTCATCATTTTTCCTTTCCTTTCTTTCCTTAAAGGCAGGACCTTTGATATATAAACAGCTTCAATTGATAATTTCAATGTGCTTTTGGGTTTATAGAGGTGGTCAGTATATTTTTTTCCTATTTGACCATTATAATAAACCTGTGACTGAGCCAAAGTATCTCATTCACAGAGAAAGAACTAGAGGAGCTGAGTATTAAAGCACCTGGTTGCTCAGCAAGACTGGGAGGTGGGTGGAGCAGAAAGGAGATTTGGGGCTTTCCAGGTCACTACACGATTGTGTGGTAGATGATCCCCATGGAAAAAATAATCACTGTGAAGACCTAAGAGGACTGTAGCAAAGAAAAGACAACTGAACACAAGTGAGCCAAAAAGCAAGCAAGCAAACTGTGATGGCTATTTATGGGCTAACTTTCTTGGGCCTCAGGGTACAAGTATTTACTCATACATTATTCTGGACATTTCTGCACAGGCCTTTATACATGAGGTCCATGTTTAAAATGGTGAACTTTGAATAAAGCAAATTCCCCTCTAAAATGTTGGTGTAACTCATTAAATCAGCTGAAAATTGCAACAGAGCAAAGACTCAAGACTCTTTGAGCAAGAAGGAGTTCTGCATCAGACCTCCTCCAGACTCTGTCTCCGACATGAGCTCATCTCTGCCTATCAAGCAGATTGCTTTGAACTTTAACTGCAACTCATTCCTGACTGACTGCCACTGGCATCCTCCATCTGATTATGCCAAACTTCCACAATGTGCAAGCCAGTGCCTCAAATCTCTTTCTCACAAATATATGCTTTTTCTGTAGAGAACCCAACCAATATATATTCATGAATTAACAAACATCAGTTACAACTTTCAAAGGGAAATAAAGTAATATGTATACTGCTAATCATGTAAAAGTTTTTTTATTTTGTTTTTTTTTTTCTGGTTCCAGGGATCGAACTTGGGACCTTGCACTTCCCAGGCAGGCAGTGGCACCACTGAGCTAAATCCCTAGCCTTAAAGTTTTGATTTAATGACTATTGGCAGCAACAGACCAATTGTAAGAGCAAATAAACGCTTTGTAGTTGGAGCCTCTTACAAATGGAAATTGTGATTTATTGGCTATTTAAAACTGAGCCATCTGCTTGGGATTGTAAGGGAAGAGCAAGTGCTTGGCTCTGTGCCATCAGGTGGTAAATTTGTGCAAGGTCAGAGCTGGAAAACTGCTTCAAGTTAAATTAGTGACAATGACAAATATGAGGGTGGGAAGTGAGGGACGTTTACATTTAATAAATTTGTCCGTTACCTTTGGTCTGGAGAAGTGTTTATAGATAAATCCTATCGTGTGAAGTGATATTTAGTAGTTGATTATCTCATATGTGTTTATTTTATCACAAATCTATATCAGGAGAAATCACTTTTTTGACAAATAAACCAGTCTCAGGGTGATAGACCTCACCAGGTAAATTTGTCTTTAATCCTCTCACATTCATTACATTAGTTTTTATTTATAGTAAATACAGAATATATCCCACTTATTTCAGGAAACATTCTACAAGCTGGAGCTGCAGCAAGAAACAAAGACCTTATAGAGCCTACACACAAATAGAAGAATAAAGATGTTGCTTAAAGGCACCTGGCAACAAAAGAACTCTAGTTAAAGACATCCCGGTCTCTTGGTAGGCTGTTCTAGAATGGTAGCAAATCTCTATATGTAAAGTCCATACGTTCCTCACAGTGAGTCCTGATGCAGACCCATCATCTCTAAAAGATGCATGTAGACCTCCTTATTACCTTGTCTAAAGCTAAAGCCCTTCTGTAAGCCAGAAGAATTGGTCATGGTCTTGTCAAAATTGCATCTGTAAATATAATTGTAAACCAGTACAAGTACTCCTGGAAGATCTACAATGTGCTAAATAATCCAGGAAAAGCCACTCTTTAGATGATTATATTTTCTGCCTATATCTTTTTTCCATATCCTCAAACCCTTATATAAACCAAGTCTCTCATCTTGACTTCCTTTCTTGATAATTTGTCTACTGCCTTTTTGTATCCTGATCTAAATAAAGCCTTCTCTTTCCTCTAAAAAAGGAGACTGTCTTAGTCTATCCAGGCTGTTAAAACAAAACCCACAAAAAACAAATAAAAAAACACAAACAAAAACTACTTTTAGAGGCTTATCGGCAACAGAAATTTATTTCTTGCTGATTTGGAGGCTGAGTGTAAAGTCAAGATTCAGTGTTTGTTGAGGGTCCATTGCCAGTTTAGTTCACAGTATGTACCTTTTAGCTGTGTTCTCATACTATTGGGAGGGGAGAGGGCACTTACTCAGGTCTTTTATGCAAGGGTTTTGTTCTCTGTGATCTCACAAGGTCTCCATTTCCAATATCATCACTTTGGGTTTAGAATTTCAACATACAAATTTTGGGGACACACAAAAATTCAGACTTTATGGGTTAGATCTCAAATGCCTCTCCCTTCATCTCATGTTTTCAGAGATGAGGTTTATGGAAGGTAATTGGATCATAGGGGCAATAATCACCTTTGCTTTTGCTGGAGCAAAATATCTGGCACCCACAACTTAAAGGAGAAGTTTACTTTGGCTCAAGGTTTCAGAAGTTTCAGTCCATGGTTGGCTGGCTCCAAGGCAGGACCACTACAGAAGTGTGTTGTGGAACAAAGCTGCTCACTTCATAGCAGGCAGAAATAGAGCAGGGAACAGAGACAGAGAGGCAAAGGACAAGGGCCAGATATACACTCCGACATCATGCCTCCATGACCTACCCAGACACACTCATAAGTATGCCCTAATGCCCTAGGTAGTTCCCAAGCCAATCACGTTGACAGTTAAGCTTATCCATTACATTCAACGTCTTGTCAAATTAACATCCAAATACATCTTTTTAAACCATACTTAATTTTCAAATAGAATAACAAGTTAGTAATTCCACCTAACATGATGTAACTATTCTGTGTACAATCAGAAATATAATCCCTTCCCTAAAGTCTCAATAAATCCATCATTGCTCTAAAGTCCAAGTCTCTGTCTCCCCTGAGACTCAAAGGGAATTCTTAGATTTGAATCCTTGTGGAATTAAAAAAGCAAGTTACATAATCCCAAAGTACAATGGCATAGGGTAAAAATTCTCATCCCCAAAGGGATAAATAGGGCCATAGAAAGGAATAGGCCCAAAGCAAGAATTAAACACAGAAGAGCAACTATTCATTCAGTGAATTACAGAGGGCTTGGGTTATCCTGCCCTGTGTCTTTCCCTGTTGCAGTCTACAGCCTCTCCCTTAAGCTGGCTCTATTCCCTGCCTGTGACTTTCCTTGAAAGACCTTGCATGTTCCTGGTATCTCCAACTTCCTGGGTCTCTACTGAATATTTAGCTTCATTCCCACCACTTTATGCACTTACCTCTCACAGACATATTGCCTGACTTCCTAGGCCTTCATTTGAAATCTGGGTGGTAGCCTCCCTGACCCCACGGTTCTTCCATTCCTAATTATCTTGAACAACCAGCATCATGAAGAAGATGCAAGGTCTGCTGCCAGCTTCA